CAATGATTTTCTTTGATGTCAGTCTGCTCTCTGCTGAAAGACTTTGAAGCCTTTGAAATAGCCAAAATATTTCTCAGCTTGTCATCACAAAAGTCAGCAAGAACTAAAAAAACAAAGTGCTTATCTGTGTCTGATAAATTCTAAAAAAAAAAAAATGAATCTGCTAGACTCTTCATTGTTCTTGCTCCTCAATTTTTAGAGCCTCGGTAAGAGTTGTTACATCAAGATATACAGGGAAATACAATACAGGCAACTGGATTGTAAGGGATTTATGACACCAAGACTCTCTGAAAAAGCTGTTTACTGCATGTCATCTTCGAGAGTGCTGCAGTCACATTTAAAATTCACATTAGACTGAACAGGGAGACAACTTCTGTCTCAGTGATGCTCAATATAAAATTACACATATTACATATATTTTTGTGCCCAGGGCATATACTAACGGATGAGGCCTCCACTCCTGAACATAATTCAATTTTCTGAAAAAATACGGTTTATGTCTTGTGCCATCAAGGGAAAGGTGCGAACAGTTGGTAAGTTTTGGCATAGCTACTCAGACATGATACTGCATGGCAAATGAGGGTTTGCGGGGGTTTAGTCCTTGTATAGAAGTGATTTACTTTATCCCTTACCTCCCCAGTTTGCCCTGCTTTCAGTGGAGGCCGGTTTTCCTACCTCCCACTTCTCAGGGGATAAAAGAAAAGATGACAGACTCCAGCTGAGCCTGCCTATGGTGCCTGTCATTAGTCCTGGAATAAGAGCAGTTATCCTCACCTGTGAGAAATGAGTTACAGTGTGGAAATGAATGGACGAACCATGCTCATTTGGAGAATAATACTTCAGTAGTGGTTCTGTTGAAAAAGGGCAGCATGCAAAAAACCACCATGTGTGCTGGCTGTCATGTCTGGATCTGAAGTAACGGAATAAGGTCTTGCTCCCTTTTATGTCTAAAAGACAGCAGAGTGTGAAGATAGAGTCTGTCTTTTCTTGATTCTCTGAGCAGTTTTGTTGAGCTGACTTCTGAAATTAGTAAATCTATACAAGCCAATTGCCCATTAGAGCAGCAGGGTTGTGCAACAACCTTTCAGCCTGTGTAACAGAGTGAAAATTCGCAGGCAGTGTATGAAAGGGAGCAGATGATTCCATGCTTTGCAGAGCAATGGGGATGGACTCCACTCAAGAAGTCTCTTCAAGTTGCATGTTCCTTCACTGGGATTACGTAGTTGCCTCTGGGAAGGTAATGCAGATCTAGCCGCATCACAAAAATATGAGGTCTCCAAGGTAGAGTTCTCCTGTGTAAGGAATTTTCCAAACTGGTTATTCAGAAGCTGAACAAAGGAAAAGAGGGGTAAGGCGTTCTTCTGTCAGAGTAGGAGATCCTCTTCATCTCTAGTTATTCAGGAAGAGCCTTTCATCAATCTCTTCTTATGAATTATGCACTTTAAGTTCACACTTTAAAACAAAAAAAAAGTTCCAACCAGAAAAGAGAGACCATTACAGAATTTGAAAACTTGGACTCCTTAGCTCTGATTTCTTTGATGAGTTTAAGGTTCTTTCTCAAAAAGACTGGGTATTTTTTAAACACCTAGTTTAGGGTTCTTTCTCAAAAAGACTAGATGTTTTTAAACCCAGTCAATTTCAATTTTGTCATAATATTTTGAAATCAGTGACAAAATCCCCAATGATTTTACAGGGACAAAGTTTGAATTCGATGTTTTGGTGTTTCTGATGTTCCATTCATTTTTTTTAGTAATGCACGAACTTATTCCCAAAAAATGAAGAAGAAGACATGTGGATTTACTGGGGGGTATTTGTTTGGGAGGGATAGACCCCATAAGAGCAGTCAGGTAGCCACCTGACTGCCATTGCCACCACATACCGTTAATCACTTCTTGCGTCAGAAGCTGCAGAGACTTGATCTAAACCAGTGGCTGCTCACTAGGTCTGCTCCCTTAGCAAGGGCTGGGAGGTGTCTTCTGCCTCCAGGTAGAGGTTCGTGCCCCACTAGGGCTGCCTGGCTACTTTTCCCCATCCCAGATTGCTTTTCCATCCTTCACACTACAATACCACACCTCACTAGCTGAGTATATTTGGCTGTTTTCCATTTATTTTTGCAAATGCTGGGATAGCACCCGGGAACAGGGATGTGGGTAGGATTCATCTGATTTCTATACCTGTTTTATACTCTTCCTATCAATACTACTTAAATGTTATGACTGAACATGTTCATCCCATATGACTTTACTGTTAACTTCAACAGGATACAGATGATTTGTAAAGATCCTTTAGGCAGAGTATGACATTACATTTTAGGCCCATATTTTAAAAATTTGTGATACAAAAGAGAATTTTTATTTAAAAAAATCCTACGCAAAGAGTTATTTTAGCTGGATACATTTTATGGTAATACTTGGGGTGAGTGAGGCAAGTGGGATTTGGCCATAGTCACTTGGAATCAGAGTTTATGATGTCTCTGATCTCACTGCAACATATGCGATTTAAAAATAACCCAGTTAACATAGGAAGACCTATAAAGGCTATGATCTAACACAGCACTTATATCTCTGCTTAACTTTAAGCTCATGATTAGTCCTATTTACAACCATAAATTTTCCACTAGCTTCAAAGAAAGTCCTATGACAAAGTTCTTCCTTGTACTGAGGCCAAAATTCTTAGTAGTAAAAGTAGTATGTAGCAGATTACAAGTTCATGAAAATTTTTGAAGTGTTTTAACTTCTGCCATGTTAAAGAATCTATGTGAATTAATTTCTTAAGTTATTGTAGAGAAAATCAATTAATAATGGATCTGCTTTTCATTATGATGAGTAATCAAGGATGAACATCTTTGATATCAAAGCCTATCTTTTAAAAAGGATAAATTAGCTATATGACGCTTAACTACTTCCAGAACATGAAATGAACACATATTGTTCCATTAGTTGATGCTGGATCACTAAATTAAAGATAGTTCAAAAGGAGTATAATCTCATAAGGATCTGTCTTCGTTCAGTCTGTTGTGACTCATTTAACAATGTACCATACATGCAGTTTCTTGGGGGATAAATAATATTAAGGGTATAAAATGGTTTTGATTGAGCATATTTTATGCAACACTAAGAAGATTTTTATCTGATATTTGCATATGCAGTTTTATAGTCCTGAATATTTTTGTTCTCCTTGGATGTTTAATTAAGACTACCAAAAGCTCTGCAATAAAACAATATCCAGAGTATAACTTTTTGTCCTTCAAAACATTATGGACGTGTATATACTAGTATACTAATACAAGTCAGGTCATCGGCCTTCCATCATCTCTCCAGCTGAATTATTACCATGCTTCCTGGCATGATTCTGGCCGGCTAGCCAAGCAATGTCTAGACATTAGGTTTGGATTAGAGCTAGTCTAGGATTAGGTTAGGGTTTAGACTGGCCATCATTCATTCCCAAAGACAGTTGTTATGTGGCCATCCTATCCTTGAGGATAAAAGGGAATTTAGCCATTCTAATGGAAAATGTGCCTTATGTGTTGTTCCTGAGACTGAAGAATAATAGCCTTGTCCTGTCATACAGTAGTGCAAATATAGCTCTGCACTGTAGAAAACAAATTAGGGTTTAAAACATAGGATTATGCCTGCTGCTTAAAGTAGTTCTTGTTATTCAGGCACTTAGGGCTTTTTGGCATATAGCATAACATACTAAAATTATTTTTAAATGCAAAAAAGTGGGTAACTCAATGCAAATAATTTCAATGATTTCTTAGCATTTTCAGTGGGTGTCTCCCTAGGCTTTCATGTTCTGACAGAGAAGAAACAACACGAGCTGAACAGTGTCTTATCCTTCCTAAGGATCATTAGTTGACAGTGGGGACTTTTTGGTCACAGCTAGCATCAAAAAGTGTCAACTTCTTGCAGAAAAAGATACTTTGCCAAGTTAGTAGTAGTAATATGTTTAAAGGAAAAATTATGAGGCAGAGCATTGCAGGGAAGAGTGTTGAAAGGCTCCTGGGAACCGAGGGAGGTGCTTCATCAGTTGTGTGATGTACAAGGGACTTGCAAATGATCGTGTTGTTATTTGAAGGGTCTGATTCTGTCTTTTTGACTTATATTGACAGTGTTTGTTCTCTCTTCCACAATGAAAATCAGTGGGGTTTTCAGAAGAGCAAGATATTGCTTATTGTGAGTTAGACGAGAAGAATTTAATTAACCATAAGAATATCAGCAAAGAAATAGAGGAGACTGCACTGAAGAGTGCAGTGTCATCTACAATGGCACCTGGAATTGGTGATAAGATCTAGCTAGTCCAGGAACAACTTATTTCAAATGGATAACATTATTTCTTCCTGCACTGGATACTGGATAGTTTTTCTCTTTCTCTCTTTCTCTCTTTCTCTCTTTTTCTCTCTTTCTCTCTTTCTCTCTTTCTCTCAGACTGTGGAGACAAAGTTTGTTAAGGACAAAAATCCATATTTCTTTTCTTAGGCCTGATGGATGGATTGTGAACTGGATGTGTATGAGGAGGCTTAAGATTGAATTAGGCACGGTGGCTCCAGGGAAGTAGAGGAGTGGAAGTTCTGTAGCACCTTTGGGGTCTATGTCTTCTGGGTTATTTAGGTCAATCAAGGGCTCCCAGGTTTCATGGTTCTCTAGGAAACCTCACACTGGTGACAACATTAGACTTGAGCATCTTTCAACTCTTACAGTTTTACTAAAATTCTTCTGAAGAACATATACTGGTTGATAGACCAAATTGTGTTCTCCTTCCTTCTTTCTTATGTGCTTTTGCAGAACATCCACATAAAGATAGTAGTTAGCTAATGCTTTATGAACTGCAGCTTAATGCTAACAAATAATAATTTGTAACTGTTAAGAATGGAATTGTCCCAGACAATTGACACAATTAAATCACATTTTCTGTTAGTAGTTAATCTTACTTTTTTTTTTTTTTTCAGTTCGGAAGGATACAATTTTACCCTACCCTGAGTTTGAGCAGTAAGGGATAAATCTGATCACCAGCTGACTCATCTATCTTCACTATGATGGAAAAGTGGTTGTCCAAAATAACCCCTTTGTTATGCTGCTAAAACTGCCTTTAAATCCAAGATCTGTGTTGATTTTAAAAAAACAAAACCAAAAATGTCAGAACCTGACCCTTCATCTGGATTTTTAGGAAACATGGAAAATGGGACTTTTCTGGAGCTGTATCCCACATCCCTTTCAACTTCGGTGGATTCATCTTCAGAACGTTTATCCAATGTCTACGTATATGTTTCTATATTCCTTAGTCTCTTAGCTTTTCTGCTTTTGCTATTGATCATTGCACTTCAGAGGCTTAAAAACATAATTTCTTCCAGTTCCTCCTACCCAGAATATAATAGTGATGCTGGAAGTTCTTTCACTAATTTAGAAGTCTGTAGCATTTCTTCCCAAAGATCTGCTTTCTCAAACCTTTCTTCCTGAAAAATCCAGGAGAGGGAGGACACAGAGAATGGAACGGCTTTGTCAAGCTTCATGGGGAGGTTCTGCATGCAACACTTGCCTTAGAAGACTATCACAAAGAGATGACTTTTAAAGTTTCCTTATCTTTTTCTTTCCATTTTTAACCTTCATTTTCCCTTTTACTAAAGTTAATGCTTCATTCTGCAAAAAGGGAAATGGCACTCAGTCATTGTTTCATGTCTGTAATGGTGGTGTTGTCTTTTTCCTATAGATTTATGTGCGCTCTTGACAAATTGTAATATGGTTTTAACTGGATGTGTCATTTTTCTGCTGTAGTTGTGACTCCTTTTCTGGTTGTGTTTTAGTAGTACTGCTGCCTTCTTTCCTTTTTTTTTTTTTTTTTTTTTTATTTAAAGAAGGTAAGGAGTTGATGAAACTCATACTGAAAAATTTAGCTTAAATTATAAATGGAGTGCAAGGGCAACTTAAAGTTTTTGGTTATGTTTCTTTTAAAATTTTTATTATTATTTTCAGTATTTATTGATTTTTATAAAACAAAATGGAAACCTATTTCTTGAATAATATTACCTTTGTTTATTTGTACTACCACATCTCTCTGTATAAAGTCTCTATATTTCAGTTTTTGACTCTCTGAAATTTTTGGTTAGCTTAGTAAAGCAATTACACTAAATATGTTCACTGGGAAATGTATAGAGATATTTTTGGACCACATTACATATAATTCACCCAATGGCTTGCTTCTCTGAGGGGGCAAGGATTTTTGCTGCTGAATCATAAATATCACACAACTCCTTTTCATCCTTCACTGATGCTGCAGCTTGTTCTTAATGGATGCCAGTACAAAAAGATGATTTTTCAGATCTGCCTACTATCACCATGGCTGGTAACTATGTACTGTATAGCTCCTATAACTGTCCTTCCTTCTAGGCACAAGATGTTTATACATGTATAAGTAGGTCCAGTAGGGATTGAAATTACTTCCACTGGGAGGAACTTCCTGGGCCAAATCCTGCTCTGTAATTTCACAGGTGCACCCCGGTGTGGAGCGGGGACATGAGCATACCTGCAAAGTGCACCTGCAGAGAGCAGAAAAGATGGGAAGGAAAAAGGCCAGTGGCTCTGCCCTTCTCCCACATCAGCCTCAGGAGAGGCTGGAGATGCTGGAATGAGGAACGGATGATCTTGCACATCCCACTGCCTCTTGCTATGCCATAGCCTGGCTTATGACTCCACCTGCCCCAGATGTAACCCAGCATTCAATTTCTGCTGTAAAATACCTAGCAGTATTGCGTACAAGATCCTGTGGTTAGCTGTGAATTAATTAAAATCAAATATGTGGATTAATTAAAATTGAATGGTCACAGACATGATTCAGAATGCAAAGTGTGACCTACCAGGCTGTCAGACTGCAGCCCCGTACTGTGCTGTGCTGTTCTGCGCTATCGCAGAACGTGAGCAGAGCCCAGTCCTGCTTCCACTTGAGTCCCTACAAATTTTGCTATATTGGCAGTATCCAAGTCACTTGGGAGACCAGGGGAAGGGTGTATGGAAATGTCACTGCTGTTTCTGTTGCTGGCATAGCAGCACTCGTAACTGTGAGTGATGGGGAGGTCTCAGAAGAAGAAAAGTGCATGGTCTCCTTGCCAACTGCTGCTGCCCTTGCAAAACTCTTCCAGGGACAGACCAGCTCCTCTCATTGCCCAGCAGCCTTAAGGGTTATAGATAGTCACTACAGGAAAGTCAAAAAGTGTTAAGGCCATAGTCAATGCAGCCAAGCTGTGTGCTGCTTCACAGTTAGATTTTTACAAATATCGTCCCTCCAAGATATCAACTGTTTATTAGAAGGATGTGTTCTGCCATTAACTATACAGTTTTCAACAGAAAAGTTTGAAAAGTCCAGAAACACAGCTCTTCAGAGCCAAACAGCATACAGATTATGCTGGAGTTGGTGTTTTCAATTTTTAAAAGTGAACCTATGGCGTGATAAGCAGTACTGGATTTTGATGTTGGCTAACTACTTGTGAAGGCCAAAGTGCTTGTTGACTAAAGAAGAACTTAAGCTTATAGGATCTCTGAGCCAAATTGTCTTTATGAATATATTTCTTCTCTTGAATACTTTATTCATTTAGAGAAAATTTTCCGATACTATGTTCAGTCATTTTTTCACTGGTAATTGATGATAGGCCTTGAAAAGAACAGCAAACTGTTTAAAAGGCATCAAGAAATATTATCTCCTTTTTGAAAGCTGTTTAAGATCACAGATCTGTAACATAATGTGTTTGTGTGTTGACTTGTAAATAAAAATAAATAAACTTGGAATCAAGATAGAGTGACTTTTCTGCTATCTTCTCTTATCTATAAAGTTATAAATTCCTTGTTTCATTGCTGCAAATATGGGAAACTAATCCAAAACAGAGATAAGACCACAGTTTGAGATGGGTATTTATTCCCAGGCGTGTGAGATTTCCTATTACTCCTTTAAGCATGTAGATTGACCTTTAGTATTAAATACAGAATGCTGAAAAACCATTGATGTTCAGCTTTTGTCAGCCTTCACAAGGGCAAAAAATATTTTTTACCATGTAAAAGTAGCAAAGGTGATTGGAACCAGGTAGTTTATGTTGTCTTTTTAGCTTTCTAGATGCTATTACAACACTGCTTCCACTCAGCAGGGACATATGGGACTATATACACTTGCACCTGTTCTTCCTGAGACAGATCTGAGTTGTAATAAGTTGATTCCAACACCAGAGTCTCTGAAGAAACCACAACAAAAGGCATCCTGGCATTTCCCAGGATTAATAAGCATGAGCAATCCTAGTTTGACTTAACTTGAGTTAGTGCTTCAGGAATTTTCCACTATGGCAAAATGAAAAACAAATTCTTCATATGCATCAGATTTCTCTGTTTTCCACCTCTCTCTCTCTCTCTTCCTGTCACACATATGCATGCATGCACAGGTTTGTGGTATCCTGAATATAAGGAAAAATAAAGTTTCAATGCAAACTTATCAATGAGTTCCTCAGATAACATGTATTTTCTTAGCAGAATAGGAATTAAATAAATTTTTATCAATATGCTGTGTCCAATATGCACCTGCACAAAATCAGCACAAAATCTGCTTCTGAACCATGGGTGGGATGGCCCCAGTTACCCAACAAGAGGTAACCCGTACACACACCTACATACCACAGAATCACAGAATCACAGAAGGGTCGAGGTTGGCCGGGACCTCTAGAGATCATCTAGTCCAACCCCCTGCTCCAGCAGGGACACCCGGAGCACATGGGCAGGGACACTGTGTCTCAGGGACTGTGTGAGCCCAGGTCAGCTCTGCTCCCCACATAGGCTTCTCAGGTATCCCAAGCGAGGCCCCGTGTCTGGCAGCTCCTTCCAAAGCTGCCTCTCGTGAGCACGCAATGATTTAGGACAAGGGGGTAAGGCTGTTCTTTGGAAACCTCTACGGTCAGCAACAGCATATCCCAAACAGCAGGAAATACAGTCATGGTGAAAGTCAGTGCATGGCTTTATTATTGACCAGCATGTCCAAGGGTGATATCCATTTCTGTCTTTTTAGGGAGACCGTAATTCCTCCAGTTGTGCTGCCAGAAATACAGTACTTAGAGGGCCAAGCTGTGATTTTGATAAACTTCTGAGAAAATGAGAGCATGGCTTTGTAACTCTGAAAGATAAATTACTATTGGATCAGTTCTTCAAATTCTCTTTAGCTACCCCACCAGCGACTTTAAAATATGATTCATTACCTTTAGCTGGCTGTATAGACCTCTCAGCAAACTGTCACCGTCATACTGTGACACATACATACTGTAAGGAGTCCATTTTTCAGGTGACTTGATGAGCATCAGTGATATGAGTTTGATGTTTAAATTCATTTATATGCTTCCAACAGGCAAATGTGAATTCATGGCCTTGTCTCCATCTGACAAACCCAACCACCAGCAGCCCAAACAAGCAGAGACAGTGAGGGAAATGTCTTAAATGGCATCTTTGCAGATCAGGTCTTACTAAATTTTACTGAGGCATATTTTACAGAATCACAGACTGGTTGAGGTTGGCAGGGACCTCTAGAGATCATCTAGTCCAACCCCCCTGCTCCAGCAGGGACACCTAGAGCACGTGGCACAGAGTGGCATCCAGGCGGGTTTGGAAGATCTCCAGAGAAGGAGACTCTACAGCCTCTCTGGGCAGCCTGTTCCAGGGCTCTGTCACCCTCACAGGAAAGTTGTTCTTCCTCACATGGAGATGGAACTTCCTGTGTTTTAGTTTATATCCATTACCCCTTGTCCTGTCATTGGCCACCACCAAGAAGAGTTTGGCCACATCCTGCCTACATTCACCCCTCAGGTACTTATACATACTGATCAGATCTCCTCTCAGTCTTCTCTTCTCTGGGATAAACAGGCCCAGCTTGCTTCATCTTTCCTCATAAGATAGATGCTCCAGTCCCTTAATCATTTTCATTGCTCTACACTGGACCCTCTCTAGAAGCTCCATGTCCCTCTTGTCCTGGGGAGCCCAGAACTGCACCCAATACTCCAGGTGCGGCCTCACCTACCAAATTTATCACTGATGCACAATAAAAAGTTAGAGATGGACCAGCTGATTTTTCTTTTTGAAACTCTTTTTAGTTAATGACAAATTTTCATAGCAATTAGCTGCTACTCACAACAAATACCATCTTTTGGCTGATGTATTTTATCTGAAAGTCTTCTGTGAGCTAGAAGATTTTGATTGCTTGGAGTCATTTATACACATAGATGACAGGTTTACAAAGAAATAGTTAGGTCACCCGACCTAATGTCAGTGCATAGCCTTGGTAGCCTCTGACTTGCTGTCTTCTCAGATGTAACTTCTCTTCTCTGCAGCTAAGAAAACTGCATCTCCATTGGGAGGTTATTTGTTCAATAACATGTTACTGGAGAGCTGCCAGGTTGCTTCAAAGTCTGCCCCTCCTGCCCACAGCCTCCCACTGTCTACATCAGCTTTCAACATCCCTTCTGTGGAGTGGGC